AATACCGTACTAACTGATATGGTCATTATAGAGTGTGCTATGTGTGATAATTTTTTTTTCTTCTTGTGAGAGAAATAACTGAATGAGGCCACCATTCTCTGTATTACCTGAAAATTTGCCACCATACTCATACCAAGAGCAGCTAGTGAACCCATGACCAGTCCTATCTTATTCCACAGTAGCACTCTGGAATCTTCATTATGATTATACTCGATCACATTCTTGTACCGAACATACATTGTAGCAAATGCTAAAAGAAGTTACAGATACCAAGATTATTGTAAGAAAACCTGACAAAATTACAGTTTAATTGGAATAATATTTCAAAAAAGTCAAAGGTGTATTGTATCGAGATAACACAAAATCTGCATCAGAAATCTTGCTAAAACTAGTCTCTACAGTACATTTTTTAAGGGTTTGAAATGCTTTGTGTCAGGGAAACTGAATACTCATTCAGAAATTCGATAAGGGGGCGCTCCTATTGATATGGGCTGGGTTTGTCAATTGATTTTCAAATTTTTGTTTTGCGAGCTGAAATGAGGGACACCTTGTGCGCCTCCTCCTAAATCTGCGCATGGTTAGGGTTGGGGTATGATGGCAGAGAAGAATCTGAGAGTGATTATTCAATTATGTCAATAATGCACTGAAAGAGAAGATGAGCATTTTATTTTTTACTTACCTAAGGCAGCAGCAATATTGAGAAGTTGTCCAAAAATACAGCTTTCTGGAACATAAGTACCAGTATCACTGAAATATGAGAGGCATGTAAGAGTGAATGAAACATCATCAAATTATACTTTATTTACAGTATGAACTTGGAACAATTATTCCCACAAACCAATCACCTCATATCATTTGTACAAGGTGCTGATTGATATGAGTAAAGTCAGGGTCTGACACTCACGCTGGTCCTCTATCCTGAGTCTAGTAAATTTCATTCAGGACTAGCAAAAGTGCATAGGTGGAAGTCCGAAGGATTAGTGTTTTTTTTTTTTTTCGATATTTCACCCATAAAATTTATGTGAACTCAATGCAATCCACAATGTTAAATTTTTCTTTAAATGCTCAGTTTATTTGAAAAAAAAATCCTGCTGTTTTCCCCATCAAAATCAAAGCCAAAAGATCACAAACATCCGCAAATCTCCTCCATGTTGCATTCATACATTAACATACATTATTTAAATGAGTTATGGTAATTTGATCACGTTTGCATCATCCAGCATTTTGATTGGTTAATTAACGACTTGACTTATCAGGTCAAAGAACATGTTTCAGGTCAACTCCTAGACAGGAAGCATGGCGGATATCGTACCGAAACATATATGCAACCGGAATCATTCGCTTACGATGAATTTTACTTGCATTTTATTATTTGTACATTATTATAATTACTACTGAGTAATAATCATAACTGTGGAACGCAACATCACCAGATTTCTCTACCATGATTGTTTACTACTAAGCGATGCATTTGTGTTTGTTTTATTTTTCTGTTGATCGTACGGCAAACTGTGAATGTTTTCTAAAGGATGATACTTTTTGTATAACTTTCTAGATATTTACTTACTATTTAGTAAAATAAAGGCTGCTGCGACTGCGAGTGTCAGACTAACGTAAAATATTGCCAATAATGTATCACCAGAATAGAGAAAGGACAATGGTTTGAAACATGGTTACTAGAACTTGAAGTGCTTGAAAAAAACGCCATTTGTACCAAAGTTGCCAAAATTTAACCACAAATAAGCGGCACCATGAAGTGAAAGTGTAACAAAGTGGCGCCTAGTTGAAGAAAAATACGATAATTACAACTATCATAGGAGTGCAGGTACACATCTCTGTGCAGGGTACATATAATAGCTATCCCATTACTGTTTGAGAGCATTGCTATGTAAGTATTTTCTATTAAAAGAGACAACTCTTCGAAAAAGTAGCAGGACCAGTAAGATTTTAGATGGGATAGCATTTTTGTAGGTTCACTAGACCTATTGGATAGTGATGAATTTTCACGACTGTCTAACCCTGGAAGTCCTGTATTATCCTTGAACTGAAGATATATGGTTAATAGTCAAGTTTTGGTCATATCACCCTGATTTATCACCCAACATGCTGATAGTATATCATCATAGCCATAATAAACTTCAGTGCAAAGTTTGATCCTGCAAAAATCCTTGTTTAATATGACAATAAGGGTCATTCATTATTGAAATATTAGTTGTCTGAATTTTCAAGGAATTTTCATTATTTTTTTTATCAATGGCATTCATGACAGCAAAATTTAGTGAAAGCCACTGTATCTTTCTGTCATCATCGTTTGCCTCTGATCTAAAATTACTGTGTGCAACAGTAATTCCTAGCAAATCCTCGAATATTTTCTGAAATATACTAATTTTATAATACAATTATAATAACACAACATATTACGTAAAAATTAGAAACATATTTAAATTATTTTCTTTGGATGAATATAATTCTGAAATAATATGAAAGCTATATTTTATTTGCTCTATCAAGCATTTTGCAAATGAAAGTGCCCATAAAGCATTTATGGTATACTGGTTCATTAAAGTGGGGGAGGTGTCACCTGCACATTCGTCAGATGGCCATAGCGTGTCATAGTTTACAAACAAGCGTCTACCCATGAGCCTTTGCATTTTTAGCGTGTGTTGTTATCATCCCTTGAGACGACCATCTCCCTTAAAAATATGCCTATTTTGCCTTTAGACACACCTCTATCATTTGTATAAGCAATACTTAAAGAGCAAATAGGATAATTGGATTGGAGCATACCTGATATAAGGAAATTCTGCTGGTACATGTCCTAAACTAACAGATATACTGTACCTGTCAAGAGACACATTTGAATCAATCATTAACACATGTTGAAAGATCCACAAAAATCAGTCAGCAGGTATTATGTTAACACGTTTTTGTATGCACTCAAATTTTGTTTCAATGTATATATTTTACATTAAACAGATGAAAAAAAGGAAACATAAAACTTTTTCTTTGGTTAAACATTACTAGCCCAATCATAAAGGAGAGAGAGAGAGAGAGAAAGCTGACAATTTTATTTAAGGCTATATGCTGCCCTCATGAGGTCAACTTACAATCCAGTCTTTGCGTTATGCAGAGAATTTAAACCAGATCATACAAGAAGGTATTCACATGATATACTGTAGAATACTTTATTTTCGCTTGGAATTAATTTTCGCTATTTTCGCTGAAGGGATGATTCCGTGAAAATAAAATCCAGCGAATATACTTTTTTTCCTATATTTCACATTAAACTCATCAAAAATCAGTGAAAATAAATTCCAAGCAAAACGCCTAAAAAGCCTTTTCAGCGAAAATTAAATCCAGCGAAAATAAAGTATTCCACAGTATATCATATCATATACTGATACCAAAGCAAAGCCATATGGAACATAACCAATGTGTCAACTTAGTTGCTTTGTTTAATTGTTTAGACAGGTTTCTCCCACCAGTACTTACGATATAGTGAAGGTAGCCATTACCATGACTCCAACAGACATGGGAAGCCATCCCATTCCAACACAGAACCATGGATTACACATGATGACGATATTCAGCTACACTTTAACACAGTATGTCTGCTTGAGAGAAATAAATAAAAGATGGAATTTAAAAAAAGAAGACACAGGCAAATTATTCCTACTTAGACTTTTACTCTAGACTGGGTGAAATTAAATGCAGTTACAATTTCTATCATTGTTTCATTTGGCTTAATAAACTCAGAATATTCAACAAATTGCCAATTTTATTTAAAAAAATTATTCTGAGCATCACAAATGTTTGAGAAACTGAGTTAATTTACAAAGGATTCATATACCTGAAATGAAATAAAATAAAAATTTTAGTTTTTCATCACAACTTTATATATATTATGTAATTTTTCCGTTTTTTTTTTTGTAAGTGTAACCATTATGGTTTTACTTGATCACATCCTTGTAATGAACATACACTGTGGCAAATGCTAAGTAAATTACAGATACCAAGATTATTAAAGCTGTCTTATGATTATGTGTGATGTCAACATCATTATCAAGACTACATACTGCAAGGCAACTATACTAGTGAATGAACAGAATCGCATTGACATGCTGAAATAAGACCATACGATATCAAAGCAAACATACATTGTGAAAACCTGTTATCCAATCAATTTTTTTATGTTTTCATTAAAACTACTGGTAACATTTGATTCAGTTACTGTTAATGTAATGCCACAATTTTTGGTTAAATATGCAACTTCTATTTATTTAAACAGTGCGCCCCTGATTCAAAAAGTTTAATAAACAAATTAAAAAATAAACACTTATATCAACATTGACGCTGATTATATTTCATTAATAAACTATAGGAACCATGTTGTTAATTTGGTCACTTTCAGCAGAACAAAGACATTCAATGATGTTATTACAATGTTATTCAATCGGCCAATTAAAACAGTGCTTCAGGATATCAAGAAATAGTTCTTAAAATGAAGGTAATACTTTTGTTGCACTGAGAGTATGAACAATGACGTTTATTTCATTTCATTAATAAATGATCGGAATCATTTCATTAATTAACTTATACATGTACTACCCTGAAATAGTCGAAAATTATTAGTTTGATTGGCTATATGTATATTATATTTATGTTGATTGTGTACATCTTACACAAGCCATCAACATGCTTACAGACCTATTAACATAAATTCTCTCTGTAGTTTAGCAACCATCATATGACCCTGATTTTGTTAATAGTAATACTTGTGCTAGAGTGCGATTTCAGAATATCCCTCACCCCTCCAAAAGAAAAAAAAAATACATGATATTTTTTTTGTAGATCGATTTCGATGCACACAATGTCAAGGTGAAGGGCTTGAACCTCGGTATTCAGACACTTCATGTAAGTCTAGAAGGTACTCATGTGATAATCTTATGTGGTCGTTCGCAACATTATAAGTACAGTAGCAGACGTACATCCCAGGCGTCTTACGTACACTGTTCAGATGATAACAAATAACTGAAGTTTACTCTCGAAGAAGGTATAAATTTCCTCCATATATGATAATACTATAACTGGGTATTATGAGTAACGCAGATCGATCAAGTATCTTTATTTTCATATACTTACCAAACAACGGACACTCATTCGCAATATATCGGAAAGCGAAACGAAACAAGGCATCACATGACGAACACTAATGACACTTCACCGTTCTCGTTCTTATGACTCTCTAACTTGGTAATCTTTTTTACTCTCACTCACAAAATGTGTGCCGGAAACAATTAGATAATTTTAAAATGTCAAATAACTGAACATAAAAACAGACTACGATCATACTTATAGGCCACAGTTCTACCGCAGTATGTTGTTTTATGACAATTTGTATTTATATAAATATGATGGTGACGTTAGGCGGTCTAAATCTAGGGTCAAAGGTTGATCTATTTTTATATTTTAAATATTGCTTTCGATTTAAATTTCCGTGTTTTCGTCTCATATCATGAAGTTGAATTTTGAAATTTATCGAAATGTTTGGGAATATTTTTAGATTGAACATATTATAAACTATGGGATTTAAAAAAAAAAAAAAATCTACACAGAAAAAAATTTCAAGAAAATAAATTATACTGGATCATAAATTGTAGTAAACAATACATTTGTCAAAAAACATTCAGGTGCAGCCAACAAGCAATAAATTGAAATAGTCAATTCTCTGGGACACAATTTATTTTATGGGCCTTATGAAGTATGCTAATTAATATAAAGGAAAGAGGAGGAAATTAAAAACCGTTCATAAGCTACCCTCCACCTGAAAAAAAAATTGTCTTGCTGACCAAATTCATCTTCCCCCCCCCCTCATTAAAAAACGCCTTTCCCCTACTCTTCGCTCGTTGTGTTGCCTTCCCCTGGGGAGGATGCTGCCCTTTCTCCACTGCCCTAAAATCGTTCAATGAACACTTTCAGCACACTGTTTGAAAGATAATCCCAATTTAGTATTAACAATATGCAAATTACCCCCAATAGTAATATGTCATGCAGATTACATCAATGTATATGCCTACCAAATTTGATTAAACTCAATTTATGTATTCACGAGATAATCCCAATTTAGTAAAAACAATATGCTAAGTTGCATATGCAAATTTTTTTTTTTTGCGTTTTTTTTTTTATTATACCCTGCCCTAAAGGCTGTTTTGCCCACCCTGCGATATTTTTGTATGTAAGTACCCTACCCACTAAAAAAGTTTCCCTGTTCTTCCATTTTTTGTAGTAATCTGCCCTGCCCACTTGGGGTACTGATATTTCCCGTCCCCAACAAAAAATAGAAAAAATCCCCTGCCCTGAACAAAAATCCCTCGGAACAGCTTTTCCGATGAACAGCTCCATTGGCGGCGCCTGAACATTTGACCACAGGGAGCCCAGGAACTATAATCAACTATCAACTGTAGTACGCAGTCTCTATGAGCGGGGGGGGGGGGGGTATCGGCTGGTATCTAGTGTAAGAAATAGACAAGGGATGAAGGCTCCAGCCAGCTCACATTTTTTAAACTCGAAAAAACAGACGAAAAAAATAAAAAATAAAATCTAAAAAAATACCAGGTTGAAGAATATTAGTTGCTCCTTCGA